TGACATATTATTACAACACGATATATTATGTAATATACATATATTATAACACGACAGTTGCCAATTTAACCTTTTCCATGTATACAATTTAGTGGCATCAATTACATTAATTGTGCCATGACACCACTTGTCTGTCAGTTTGTCATACTGTGATGGCTTGCCTGTTCCTATGAGGCTGGAGGCTATGCCAATGGTATTTCAAATACCAGCAGGTCACCCATGGTAGACAGGTTTCAGCAGAGCTTCCAGACTAAGACAGATTTGGAAAAAGGAAGGGGCCATCTAACTTCTCAAAGAATTGGCCAGTGAAAACCTTATAAATAGCAGTGAAACATTGTCTGACATATTAATGGAAAACTTTATAAATAGTCCTGAAACATTTTCTGATATCGTGCCAGAAGATGAGCCCCTCAGGTTGGAAGGCACTCAAAATACAACTGTGGAAGAGTCGACTCACTAAAGTAGAGTCGACCTTAATGACACGGACGGAGTAAAGCTTTTGGAACCCATTTGCTGATGTGGGTGGCATGACTAAAAATGGGAAGAAACAGCTACAAACATCCACTAATAATTGGAACAAGGAATGTATGAAGTATGAATCTAGGAAAATTGGAAGTTGTCAAAAATGAAATAGAACACATAAAAATTGATATCCTAGGCATTAGTGAGCTGAAATCGACCTCTTCTGGCCATTTGAATCAGACAACCACATGATCTACTATGCCGGGAATGACAAATTGAAGAGGAATGACGTGGCATTCCCTGTCAACAAACATGTTTCAAGATCTATCTTGAAATACAAAGCTGTCAGTAATAGGATAGCCACATGCCTACAAGGAAGACCAGTTAATACTGCTATTATTCAGATTTATGCATTAACCACCAAAGCCAAAGATGAGGAAATTGAAGAATATCACCAACTTCTGCAGTCTGAAATTGACCAAACATGCAGTGAAGATGTATTAATTATTACTGTTGATTGGAGTGTGAAAGTTGGAAACAAAGAAGAATCACTGATAGTGAAAATATTACTTTGTGATAGAAATAACACTGGAGACTGCATGTTAGAATTTTTGCAAGACCAATGACATATTCATTGCAAATACCTTTTTTCAACAACACAAACAGTGGCTATACACATGGACCTTGCCAGATGGAATACACAGGTATCAGATCAACTACATCTGTGCAACAAAGCAAGTCTTGAAAGCATGTGTTTTGTTGGTGCTTTA